TCTTGTAAGAATAGGGGTCATAGGTCAGGACAGACAGACCTCAAAGGATCTGGCCTATCAATTCATGCCTGAAAGATTTCTCTGCCACAATGGGAACCTATTAAACAGCAAATTCCTAAATCTAATCACATAAGTATCAGGGTGAAATTGTTAATTTATTGGAATTCATCAATTTACATCTTTTCAAACACCTCTAGCACCTAAACAGCATTTTAATTTTCTTTTGGAAACAGGTTCTGGGATATAGTAAACATGAAAACAACACTACTGAAGGACTTCTTAACGTGAAACAGCAAAGTCTAAGCATAGGCTTATTATTTTCAGGAATGCTATTAAGATTTCAAAAGACACAGAACAAGATTTCCCACATAAAGTAACTAGAAGCCGCCAAATTTCACAATAGAGATAATGAATGGGAAAGGTTATAACAGTGAGAAGTGGGGTGAGGGAAGAACTACCGGTACCCAATTTATAGCTCTCTTGTTCTAAGAGTGAGCATCATAGAAATATTTTCCATGGGGTAAATAAAACATACAGCTCTTTATTAAGCAACACATGGCAACTTTTCTAATCCCGAATCTCTTCCAAAACTTTCATACAAATTTAAAATAATTTAAGCCCACAAAATTATAGTTTTATAAAAATCAACTACCATACATCTCATTTGAAAACCAGGGTCATATGTGTATGTATGTGTGCCCACACATGTGTGCCTGTATGTGTGTGTGCACATGTACACGCGTGCACATATTAAATCTAAGCTAAGTTTAAACCAGATACCATATAATTAGATTCTATTTATACTCACCCTGGTCTTTTTGGCAATAAAGACAGCATATCACAATGTGTCATTTCAATGCTGGACTACCAGGCACGTCAAACTAAGAATTAGTGTAAATAAAAACCACCTAGAGCTAAAGACTCTTTTTTAATAGTACCAAATAAAGGAATTCCTTGAACTTCCACAAAAAAACCTTAGCAATTAGCATCCTTTAGAAACAAAATATTAGATAGAATATGAAAAAGTACTAATATGTTAATATGGTTTTAAAAATTAAATATTGCACCAAATTAACTAAAAGCACTGGAATATTCTCTCAGTCAGCTATTTTTAAAAATCGAAACTACTTTTTAAAAATTCAAGTCATTGCTGTTAGAAAAGGCCTTCCATTATTATCAGAGTGTGTGGTTGGGTCAGAAGATGTGGAAGGTTAAGGAGAACAAAGACAACAGTCACTATGCTGGGGAAAACAGAAACTGTAAACAGACAAGTCCCAGAACCAGATATCTATACCCACCATATGGGAATTCACCACAAATGTTCTTAAACGTTACATGTATTTCATTTACTAATTATTTAGCATCAAGTCACTTTATCTATACAAAGATTTCTAGACCAATAGTCTCACTGAAAGTCTGTCTAGTCATTCCAAATATCTGCAAGTATAAATCAAAATTTCATACTGAAATCCAACAGTACTAATTCAAGTAAATAGAATGACAAAGTTATTATTTTATTAGCCTATCTCAAATTTAATTGTTAAAATTGATTTCTTGTTTTTATAGTAAACTATGTTCTTTAGAGAAAGGTACCAAGAGTAGACTAGTTTTTGAGAAGAAAGCATAAGGTCTCTAATTTTTCATCAGTCATCTTCATTTTATAATGAGGAAAGCTACAAGGGGGTTTTGTCTCCATACTCTTCTGAAGACGACCTGAACTAAGATAAAACAAACTAAACAGTAAATACAAAATTATTTTATCTGAAACTGTAAGAAATCTTTCTACCATGGAAGAATTTTTGAACACTCTTCATTTTAACAGACATTATCTAATTCATGATTCATAAATGAAAATGAATCAATCTAAATGTTACACCAGATACAAAGTAAACTCTAATTGGATCATTAAGCAAATGTAAATCATATTACTATAATAAGAATAATAAAAACCAAAAAGCACCCTACTAGAGAGACATGGAAGGAAATACTGTGATCTGGTGTTAAGAAAAGAATTCTCTTTTTATTTTGTTTTTTGTTTTTGTTTTTTTTGGGGGGGGGGGGGGTTGTTTGATTGTTTTTTTCAAGACAGAATTTCTCTGTGTAGCTCTGGCTGTCCTGGAATTCATTCTGTAGATCAGGCTGTTCTCAAACTCCTATTGCTGTCTCTGCTCCTACGTGCTGGGATTTCAGAGGGGGCCACCATGCCCACCTTTTAAGCAAAGGATTCTTAAGCATGACATCAAGCAAAGGATAATTAAACTGTCCTCATCAAAATAAAACTCTTGTACTACAAGATTATCCGTGAGAGAGAAAAAAAGGCTACAGAATAGGAGAAAATATCTGCAAAAAGTTTATCTGGAAAATGTCCTGTATTACAATGCATAATAAAAGCTCTCAGAATAATAACAAGAAAATAAATATCTTGCTGGGTGGTGTTGGTGCACGTCTTTAATCCTAGCACTGGGGAGGCAGAGGTAGGTAGATCTCTGTAAGTTCGAGGTTAGCCTGATCTAAAAGAGCTTGCTCTAGGACAGGCACCAAAGCTACAGAGAAACCGTCTTAAAGAAAAAGAAAGAAAAAAAAAATAAGAAAATAAACATCTCATTTTAAAAAATGCACAGGTACAAACAGTACCATTTATTCTCTGGAGTACCAGAGAATAAAGAGAGCAGCATCAAAATGCTTTGAACAATGTTTAGGATCAGCAGTCATAACCATGACAATATACCCTAATTACAACCATGACCACTACATATATGGGGTAGCTAAGCCTATGTTCAGCTGAAAAACATCAATTACTGGAAATATGCATAGCAGGTGGCTTGCACACTGTTGACAGAGATACAGAATGTGGCTCCCTTGCAAAACCAAGGTAAACACATACCCATGACCATGGTATATAGTTGTCCCACTCCAAAACCGAAGACTAACGTGCATTAAAAACCCACAGTTGAGTCTTTTGCCATGCTGTTCATAACAGACACAACAGGAAAATACCCAAATCCCTCAACAGATGAATTAAATAGATACTGTTATAGCATAATGGAATATTACCCAACAATATAAAAGAATGAACCACTGAGACATTCAACATTACAGATAAATTTCAAAAGCATGATAATGAAAAAATGGAAAATTTCAAAAGATTATGAAACAAATAAATCTGTTCATATGACACCCACCAAAACAAAACCAATAATAACATGAAAGAACAAGTTACCAAGTTGCCAAGGGGATGGATTAGGAGTGGGAAGCTATAAAAGGCAGCGGGAGGTTGTTTGCTGGGGGGTAATAGACTGTTGAGAGTAAATCATAATGGTGAGAGGAGCAATGTATGCATGTGAAAATTCAAAGAGCTGTGCATAAAAATATAAGTTGTTATGTAAGTTTGAGATATAAAATAAAATCAATATTCCAAATAAGCAAAACATACAAAAATGTACCAATGTTAATTTTTCTTTTAAAAAAGAATTAACAAGAAGTTTGCCTTTTTCATGCTTCAGTGGACCAAATCAACTACTTACTGTCATTTTTTAACTATCCAGCATTAAGACCAAGGCCTTGCACATAACAAGGCAAGAACTTCCCCATGAATCCGTATCCCCAACCCTAACACCATTATTTTCAAAATTTTCTAAGTTCTAAGTTCAAAAGTGGCTTACACCAGTACGCAAATCTCTAAACGTATTTCTCTTTATCTTGCATTGCTTATAAATTAAGAAGAGTATACTGAGTTCTTTGAAACTGGAATTTACCCACATTCTTTCTGTCTGCCTTTACACTTAAAGGCACTAGAAGAATGAGAGGTATGAATTTTGAAACACTGGACTGCATCTAGATTGTAGTTTATATTTGAGTGCTAGTCCCTTAATGTTAGATTGAGGTTATTCATCTTCACCAATGCTGTCATGTAAGTCACGTAGTGCAGCATTCTGTCATCGGATGCCATGCACTTTTAAGTTTTCCCTTTACTGATAATTTTTGTCTTTGATCATGTGACCAAGATGTTATGTGGCACACTTCTCTATTCATATACTTTTGTAATTAGTAAGCACTTTGTTGGAGAGATGCCTTAAGACTGTAAGTAATCCATCTCACTTCACACTGAAAATTTTTCATTTATTTCTTACTCAGAGCCATTGGTTTCTTCCCCATGATTTATAATTATAGAATTGCGATTGACTTCAGTACTCAAATTTCCACTCCTAGCAACGTCTCCTAGTCGGCGCCTACACCTGTTTGACAGGTTCCTATCATTTAACTCCATCTTCATGTAGGCTAAGAGTAAACCATTGACAATCACAGTCAGACCTCAGGGTTGTGCTTTCAATTCCATCTTTAACCTAAGAATCAGTGCAGCCCTGTCCTCTCTCCTGCATGTTGGTTCTTCCTTTTCTATTAAACCATTTCTCATCAACACATATACATTCTGTAAGTTCTTAACCTTTAGAAAATATCCCCACACAGAATCTGCTGCTTCTGCATCTTCTCCTATCATTCTCTGTTGAACAAGACACAAGCTTTCACTCCCACCAGTCTGCAGAGCTGTTCTTGTCACGTCCATTAGTCACTTCTGTGTTGCTAAGTGCTTGGAGTCTCAGTGATCATCGTGATCACTGTATCATCAGCATCTCTCAAAAGACCTCGTACTCACCTCCTTGATTTTTTTCCTTCCCAGTCTTCCAAAACAAAACCCTTCTAGATGACCTTCCTGTTCCCATTGCTTCCACATTCTTTTTCGCTGCTCCTTCTCGGTTTTAGAATGACCCAGAGCTCATTCTTTTTTTTCATTATGGGTATAAATATCATTTCACTGACTACTGCTGAACTTTTATTTTCCACCCTAGAACTCCATATCCAGTAACTTTCCACCTAATTTGTAACCCTCTTGAATATTCATCATGTCCCAAGCCAAGCTGTCCATGTATTCCTGCTCCTGCAGGTTTTCCCATCTTGGCAACTGGTCCCTCCATCTTTCTTGTTGCCCAGGCCAAACAAACCTTGGAATCATCCTGGACTCTTCTTCTCTCACAGTCCACATCTGATCCATCAGTAAATCCTGACGTCTCCACCTTCAAAACATACAGGAATTTCGCTCACCACTTCTATGTCTACCACCCCAATCCAAACCACCACCATCTCTTTCTGGTACACTGGAAAAGCATCCGTTATTGATTTCTCAGCTTTACTTGCTTCTCCAAATTAACTAAAGTAACAAGTGTCAGGAGGTACTTTAAGAAACATTACAATTTAGAGCTAAATACTTCTGAAGAGCTTGTATTAAAGATATGGCCCCCAGGAAGCATTGTTCAGAAGCAGGTCCTTTGGGAAGAGGTTCACTTTAATAGCATCAATTGGTTCATAGCTTAACAGGAAACTGGACTTAAGGATATGGGGCCTAGTTGGCAAAAATAGATTACTGAGGATGTACCTTCAGGGCCTCTGCCAACTCTCTCCTTTTCAACAGTCATGAAGTGAGCAAAATAAACTTCTCCTCTTTTAAGTTAATTTTTTCAAGTATTTTGTCATAGCAACAGAAAGCCAACCGGTATAAAGTGACAAATTAGATTATGATATTATGTTTTTTTAAAACTAATTTTAATGATGTTCTATTTTTTCTATAATCAAAGTTCATATGTGCAGCAGTCAAATGTTACAAAAGATAAAAACACTAAGGTCTGTAGATATGTAATTAGAAAAGACTAAATAACATTCAGAAAGCTATCACATTTCTGCTATGTTTTGCTCTTATTATTTTGGATAGCAGTTTAAAACCAGGTACCAAAAACCTTCAATACATAGTCTTGGTCCAGATTTTCAGTAGTAAATATTTATTCTAAGGATATAATCAGACAATATCTAAAAAATGTACACATAAGAATTGATACAGTAGTGCTAATTCCAAAGCACAGAAAACAGATTCAACAGCCCTGGCAGCACTGCTTGTAAATTTTGGCAGATTCATATAGTAAGAATGCATGCAGCTGTTAATTACTGATATCCAAGAGTCGGCTTAAAAACAAAACAAAACAAAACAGCATATATTTTGATTTTTGCCTGCATTTGGGATTTCAAGTGACTTTCCCTCCTAATGTCAGTTTTTTAATGTTTGAATTTTCAGAGCATGAGTAATCATCTTAAAAATAGACAAAGCAATCCGTATACTCTCACTGGAAACAGCAAGTGGAAGCAGAAAACAGAGAGAGGCATTTCTTCTGTAAGAATCTGAGCCACTCCTCTGCTCCCCACAGTCTGGGAAATGGCAGTCCTAGCACTGTTGCACACTTGATGCTAACTGCAGCTAAGCACTCTGAAGACTGTCGTTTTGACACAGTCTATCCAGCTACACAGTGATACTATTTTCTTTCAACTAGACTCCATAAAATCCATAAGCAAAATGATAAGGAAATTTTACAACATGTTCCAAATACAGTACACTCATAAGCCAGCCAAGTACAGTTACCTATCTCCCTTTGGTTTTCTTTTTTGCAGTGTCTTCCCTTTAGGTCTTCTTTCACTTCCTAAGCAGGGGCTCCCACCTGGGCCTGTTACCCGTATTGACTCAAGGCCTTTGGGGGATTTTTTAAATGTAAATTCCACTGGCTCTCCTTCTTTCAAGCTTCTAAATCCTTCCATGAATAGTTTGCTCTGTAAAGAGTAGGAGGGGGAGAGAGATCATGATTATCAGTGCTTTATATATCATCTGTGTAATTTTAAGGTTATCAAAGCAAGAAATTCTGTTATCCATTATAAAAGTATAGGTTTTCTTTCATTTTATTGAAGTTTGACAAACCTTACTTTACAATGCTGGCAGTTGAAAGCCTATACCACGTTGCAGAAAGCATTTAATGATACAGAAATGTAAATGTACACATTCTTGTCCCATCCATTCCACCACAAAGGTGCTAGTATAAAGTCAGAGCAATGCTGCCATCGTGACCTGAGCTCAGGCCCCAGGACCACAAGGAAAGGACAGAACTGACTCCAAGCTGTCCTCTGACCTCCACATGTGCACCATATTCACACACATACACGCACGTGCACACACACACATGTGCGCACGTGTCCCCAATAAATAAATGCAGTAACACTTTAAAAAGAAGATCCTACCACATAAGCTCACACAGAGATTCATTTTTTTAAAGCAACTATAGCACTGTCTGGTAAATTGTATCATCTTTAATAGCATTTTAAGTCCACTGATTAAACAAATTGTTCTAGAGTTACATAATACAATATTATCAATATTAAGATTTCTAATTAGTTCTGGGCAGGTGGTTTTAGTGTTTCTGTCCTACCCACTGCTCACTTTGTAGTGTGCTAAATAATGCCTTTTTTCTTTTGAAAAATATATTTAGAGCTACATGTATTGATGTAAAAAACATGTGATATTGTTGTGCCTAAAAAAAAAAGAACATGTGCCTACCATAATGCCATCAACAGTTTTTCTTTTATTTTTGAGATCACATTATATTTATAACATTTCCCCCTTTCCTTTCCTCCCTCCAAGCCCTCTTATATACCCCTCTTCACTATCTTTCAAATTCTTGGTTTCTTTCTTCATTTATTGCTATTACATTTATATACCATGTGGGTGTTATATTTAGTGATAAGCATATGTGCATATATGTATACACATTAATCACTAAATATAACCTGCACAGTCTTACAGTGTTGCTCATTTGCATTTTTCAGGGATAACCATTTGGTATTGGGTCAGAAGTACAACTGTTAAAGACTCATATTTACTCTTGTAGAGATGGAGTACAGAGCAAGCCACGTGATCAGAGTCACCTTCTCTACTCTGTTGTAAAGCAGAAAGTTTTCTATATGATAACTTACTGTTTTGGGAGCATTTTATACTAGAACAATTACATTAATAAAAAAAACTCTTCTCGATTACAAAATTATAACTGTTGGAGAGTGTGGGTGTTACAACTTTACAACTCTGGAGCTGCAAAGATGTCCTGACTTATCAGGAAGCCAGGCTATACTTAGAGCGGCAACAGTACAGCTCTGGAGGGGTAGAGCTGCAATAGGACAGCTCTGGAGACTAGAGTCACAATAGGACAGTTCAGCTCTGGAGGAAGAGGTGACCCGACTTGTTGGGAAGCCAGGCTACCTGAATCTGGGATGCGGTGGGGGATGCTCTCCCTGCAGTATATAGCAATCCTGCTCCTCTCCTGGAGAGCCTAAACAGCTGAGCTCTGCTCTGTTCCCCGTTCCCCTAAGGGAATGCAGTAGCAGCGCTATCAGCTTTTCTCACCCAAGATCTTACTTCTTTTGCTAACACCTGCTAAAGGGGAAGCCCTGCAGAAACGTAGCAATCTCTTTTGGCTCCAGCAAAAACTTGTTACTTTTTCTGCTCAGCTTTGTTCAGTCCCTCTTAGGGAGCATCCAAGCAAGGTTCTTCTATTTTGCTCAACCTTGCTCAGCCCTCCTAAGGGAGTGTCTCAGCAAGGTTATTCATCTCAGTCTCCTAAGGGACATCCCAGCCAGGTTCTTCTGCCCTGGTGAATAAAGAGCATCACCCAAGACTCTTTTGAGAAAGAGATTTATTTGGGAAGGAGAGTGGCTGCTTCTGTCAGGTGGGTAAAAGGCAGCTTCCAACTGAACAGCAGAGAGGCTTCTTTTAGGGGCGGAATTTTCCCAGGGAGAAGTATTATTTAGTTTTCCCTGCTTAGGGATTGGTTTAATTGGTCAGGGGCAGAGATGGCTCTGATCTCAGGGCCAAATTGTGTTTCTTTCACTGACTCTAATCTTAGGCCCAGGGCATATTTCTTTCACTGACTCTGATTCTAGGGACAACGTGTTTCTTTGGCACTGGTTTCAGAGTCAGGGCATGTTTCTTTGGTTCTGGGTTCAGGGCTAAGAGTGTTTCTTTCCCTGGCTCAGGTCTCAGAACCATGGTGCGTTTTTTTTTTTACTGGCTTTGGGTTCAGACTCAGGGTGCTCAGTGATTGACTGGCTTCCTGCTCCACCCTACAATAACCTGAATTTCAAATACTCCTTCACTAATTTAGTATTTCTTTTTCTGTCAAGGTGAATATGCTGATTTAAAATATAGTAAGATAACTGAGTCATTAGATTTTTTTTATTTACCTGTCTGGATTCTTTTTGTGTATTTTGCAAATCCAACTTGAAAGACCTTGCAGTTTGTAAGGACTTCTCTGATCTAATGTGGAAGGCTGTGCAGTTTGTAAAGAGTTTTCTGAGTTTGTGTGGCAAAAGAAAGAAGCAGTCACCATCTGTTCTGCTGATGCATAAACTCAGGCACTTTGCTCTTAGTAACAATGGACCCAAAAAAGAGACTGTGCTCCACTGAACATGTCAAATGCTGCTCCTCTTTGGAACAGCCACCTTCTTATATTAGCATCAAAATTGTCCTCTCCTTCCCAACTATCTCCAGGATAAAAATCTTAACGCTGTATAATCCAGCAATGTCCTCATTTAGTTGATCAGATGTCAGAAAATCATTACTTCGGGGGCTGGAGAGGTGGCTCAGTGGTTAAGAGTCTTGGTTATGCTCTTCCAAAGGTTCTGAGTTCAATTCCCAGCAACCACATGGTGGCTCACAACCATCTGTAATAAGGTCCAGTGCCCTCTTCTGGCCTGCAGGAATACATGTAGACAAAATATTGTATACCTAACAAATAAATAAATAAATATTAAAAAAAAAAGGAAATCATTACTTCAAGTCCACAACCCTAAAACCATCTGCTAGGGTTTAGACATGTTTTATACCCCGCCCCCCAGTTTTCTGGAGACTGGCCCCCCTGGACTCATGCTCTCTAAAGAAACTGTGGACGGCAGTCTCTCTGACTTCCTGTTGTGGAGTGCAATCTCTCGTCCTGCTGTGCATTCCCTCCATGCTGTCTACCCACTGGACTTTTTCCGCAGGCAGAAACAATGTCCCCAGTACCTGAGTGTGGACTTTGAACCTCCTGAACTGCGAACTACATAAGCCTCTTTTGTGTATAAAATTTGTCTTCATTACAGTAACAGAAAACTGGTTGCTAAATACAGTAGTACCCTTTACCCCTAGTTTGCTTCTCATAGTTTATATTACCCAAGGTAAAAGTAGTTAGAAAATACTAAATGAAAACATTCAGACATAATTGATAAACTGAAGATGTAAATCAATTTGAGTAGTGACAAAATTCCTGGCATCCCGTATCCCAAAGAGGATGAATCATCCCTCCAGTATCCTGTGCATATACTTCCTACCTGATCATTAGTGATTCACCATCATGGTTATCAGATCAACCCACGGCTCTGCACCACTACGACTCAAGCCACCTTTCTCTAACTTAGAAAACGGTCATGGTGACAATGCAGTTATGCTAGAACGGTGCTACAGAGTCATTTAAGTTAAAAGGTGAAAGGTAATTAATAAGGGAATAAAAATATTCACATGGAGAGGCTTCAGGGATCAACAATGAAACAAATTTATCCATGACATTACTGAAAAGAAAGGGGAATTCACTGTTACATCTCAAACTGTAGAAATTAGGCCCACAAAGCATAGTGCTTAGTGCAGACGAAAAGGACACAGAGTTTGTAAACTAGCTTAAATAATAAAACACAGCATATAGAGGATTGGTCCACAGTGTTTCCCCTGCGTCCTCTTCCAGCACCCAATGGGTATCTTAGAATATATATTCCACATAGAAAGGAGAGTGCTCTGATGATAAATAGCTGAAATAATTACATGGTATACATAATGACATTACTTTAAAATTTAGTACAAAGGAGATTATTCATTGTGAAAATAAAATGTACAAGAAAATAAAAAAACAAGCCAGGTGGTACTAGCACACACCTTTACGCCCAGCAGCTGGGAGCCAGAGGCAAGTGAATCTCTGAGTTCTGTGAGTTCGAGGCTAGTCTGGTCTACAGAGCAAGTTCCAGAATAGGCTCCAAAGCTACAAGAAATCCTGTTTTGGAAAGAGAGAGAGAGAGAAAGAGAGAGAACCTGTTTCTGGTTTTTATGACTAAAGTCTGTGTTTTCTGCTGCCTGGTGGAATGTGAGGAGGGAAAAAGCCACAAGTGCAACAGATCATCCATTTGGACAGTTCTAAGGCAGCTAGCTGTCCTTCCTCCCTGCTCAATAAATAAAGCTTTTTTATTTTAAATCGGGAGGAAAGCTAATAGTTGACTATTAACTAGAAAGGGAAAGCTGGCTAGTCACAGCTCTCCTATGCTCAACAGTTTGTTCCTGTAACAAGCATCAGTCTGTAGCATAGTGCTGTACTTTATCAACCTAACTTGATTTTATTCATCATTAAGATAGGCATAGTTTCTAGTTTGCACTCAGGCATAAGGATCCCAGATCCAACTGGGTAGCAAGAGAGAAGACACTACCACAAGTTGTCCTCTAAACACCATATGGCACGCCTACATATTACACACATACACTATAAAATTTTAAAACAAAGTTATTTTTTAAATATCACCATGCAATTAAAGAGAGAACTCTTAGCAAATATTCTCTGGTTAAATATCAAAATAGCTTAAATACAGAAGATCAAGATTTGCTGAAAGGGAGAACTATATCTCAAAATCTACCTTTATCCCGATCTACTGATTTATGAATGGCTCCATTGTTTTAGATCTATATTCTAATGTTTAGCTGCACATACGCCAGT